ATGAATGATCTCTTCGATGAAGTCCACTTTTCAGCATATTCATGATCTTCTCTTTGCTATGCCACTTCTCCCAGTACTTTGCATCACACCACGAATAATAGCTTTTCCTGCATATTGTCTGATTCTATGAGCTCTTGCTAATTGAGTTCATCTTTCTGTTCAGATGCCAGAAACCTTCTCTGGTTGTAACTCTCAGGTGTTGGGTCTCTAATAATTGTTCACTGCCAATACCAACATCATCCTACAAATTCTTATAGCAATTAACTGCTATGTGAACCTTGTAATGTGAGCATTATTGCCAACTTCATTGATCTGAAACAGGGAAAAAGTTCAGAGATTCTTCTTCCCCTTGGGAGAAATGGAAATCTGGGAGGTTTTGCAAGCAAGCCTAGATTTCCAGCATCATCCCATCCATTCCCAATAAGAAACATATACAAGAACACGACCTACAGCATGTTCCAGTGAACTAATATTTAGGGGCTCCAGAATGCTTGACCAAGGGTAAGGAAAAATATCAGAAAGAATATAGCCAGCAGGACTAAGGAAGTGAGCAACCCTCTGTACTCAGCTCTGGTGAGGCCACACTTCAAATTCTGTGTTCAAATGGCTGGACTAGATGACCTTACAGTCTTTTCTAACCTTAATGATTCCATGAGATGAACTAGGCTCTAAAGTATATCAGTGATTTAAAAACTTGGAATATTTTGTGATAATAGATTTGCTGGCTGGACTCTATCCTGCTCTGCTCGAAGACGTAGGCTTTAGAGAATTTTATGTAGTGTAATGTATACAGGCACTGTATATCCACGCTCTCAGCGATTCGTCAGAGACGTTTCATCAGACTCTTCATGATCTCTAAAATACAGGAAAAGGAGGAAGGTGACTCTGCAGAAAAAAAGACAAAAATTCAGGCAGATTCTTCTCTGGACTGTGAAAGGTGGCTTTTGCTTGATCCAGCAAGGAGCAAAGAAGGTTGATCTGGTTTGGAAAATCTGGGAGCTGGTTAATCTTGAGTGGGATAAAAGAATCAAAAAAGAAGACTTGCAAGACAGTAAAGATTACATTACTTAAAGCATAGTGAAACAGAGCCCCTGCTTTCTGTATTGTGACATTCTGAGGTAACTTATGAATCACAAATATTGAGAATAGCAGTCCAGATTTGCCCTGTTCCTTCCACCTTCTAGATCAAAGCCCAGACTCTGATTCTTAAAACCAACTTCTGGGAGCTCACCTTTGAACTTACAAACTCAGCTGGAGGTATCTACCATGTTTTCTCCAAGATAGGAGAATGGCCAGGCAGAAAGCCAGGAATGGTTGTATAGTATAAAGCCAATTTCTTTTTTTCCCTTGGACTTTCTGAGAATGCATATGATTTTGAATTTTCTTGATAGGTTTATAGTGTTGGCACTATTTATTTTAAGCTTCCTTTTTATTGTTGTGTGTTCAAGTGTTTTCTCTCCTGCACCATTACAGGCACCAATGTTTCAGTATTCACACTTCTTTGGAAAATAAACACAGCTTTTCCTTAAAGTGATTGATATACTAAGGGGGAAAGTTTCAAAACAAAAGTTCCAAGAAAAAGCCTGTTTCTAAAACTTTGAAGTGAAGTATCCGTACACAAAATGCGACAGCTCATACTACCATTTCATGAAACACTCTTTAACATTCTTATAAAATACTTTCAGAGAGGCCCATGCAATGTTACACAAAATGTAAGAACACCATCCTAACAATAGGTTTAAAAGAAAAAAAATGAACAAAGCTGTAACAATCAGGGACTGTAATATTCATATTAAATATTATTCTATTCATATTTCATTACACTCTGGTATATTCATAGAATATGCCATCTCTGTCCCTAACAATATTCAGCCACCACAGCTTCTGGTTTAATACAGATAAGCATCATTTTCACTATGAACACAGTAAGGAAGGAATAAAAAGATCTTCTGGTTGTTATTCCTCTTATAATCCATATCAAAGGTGTTTGATTACAGCATTTTTTCCCAGACTTTGATGTTTTCCCTTTCATGAATATTGTGCAGAACACAGCATGCAATGTCAACCCAAGACAGTTCTTGTGAGGTAGCCTGCAGTTTCTCACTGTGAAACAGAGACCTTAAAATCACTTTAATACAGGCACACAAACTCTCTTGTTAGGCAGCAGCATGACACACGGCCGACAGCAGGCTTCTGCAATACTGCAAAGGGAATATGAACATTGTTGTTATCCATATGGGTCTTGAAAGTAAATCCCACAACCATGGAAGTTAGTAGGAAGTATGTGAATCTGTTAAAGAGATGTCTGCGACTCTTACAAGGAAACTCTCTCTGCAGAATAGTATTTACATATACTTTTTAACAGTGATGTGACACCTCATCATTGATTCAAAAAGCATTGTCTTCAGAGAAGTAGTCTCCCTCCAGGTACACACGCTGCACCAAGTAGTTTTGCTATTAATTAAGGGCAGATGAGGTACAGTGAGCTGCCGCCAGATAAACGTGGCCATTTTCTCCTGAGCTGCTGCTCTGCTCTTTGCTGCTCTTCATCTCTGAGACAGTCTCCACCAAAATGCTACTTTGTCATCCAGCAAATCTGCCCTGCAAGTTATTCCCATGGGACAGCACAGTCATTTCCCAACCAGGTTTTGGGATCCTGAGGTAGCAGTGCTCTCTGAATGAAGAAGAAATGTCTCTCAGGAAGCACTCGCCTCTGCTGTGCTCCCTGCTCCCCTTGATGTAGAATCTCTCTTGTTGTGTGGTTTTTGATTGATGAAATTTAAGCCACTTAGTGAGGAACCATCAGATATTATCTCAGAAATGTCTAGATATGTGTACAAGTTGTCATACACATAATTGTATACATTAAGTACATACATACATATATATAGCATATGTACATAACATGTCTATATTTGGACCAGTGCTCTGATAAGAAACAGCTCAAAAAAAAAAGCGTGACAAGAGAAAAATCCAGTGATTTCTTCTTTTCCTCTTTTTTTTCCTCGACTCCTGGGCTCCAGAATTACAGCCACCACTAATACCTTCCGAGCAGGGAAGGAAGATTAAGTTTCCTACATAGCCAGAAGACATGAACTGCACATGAACAGGAGACTGACATCTTCCAGATGCTGTTACCTCACTGTGCACGTCACGTACACAGTGATTCCAATATGCCCAGGAGATATTACTTGTAATCTTCAATTGATCTGCACCTCTACAGCAAGTCCAATGCGTTTTAGATGTACAAACTTCATTAGTGATGTAAATGTTATCTGCATGAGTACAACGGTAAGAACTTGCAGGTTTACTGTCTATAATACAGTAACTTTTAACACTGAATTCATTGCAAATGCAAGGTACAGTTGTTTTACACAGACTTTAGACATCCTGAAACTGAGTGGATGGTTGACCAGAAAGCAGTAGGGCAGCTGACTACAGGTCTGGGAGGGGAGGTAACACAAACCAATCCCTCTGCCACCCAAGTCTGATGGGGGGACTCTTCCTGGGACACTAGACCTGGAGGCAAGGTGGAAAGAAGAGCAATGCTGCCCAAAGGACAGAGCCCTCTGGGTGGGGGAAAGTCTGCTGTGCTGGCCCTGGGGCTTGGTTAACCCCAACCTGCAGGTCCCATGTCCACGGCCAGTGCCAGGAAGTTACAACAAAAAGAAGAGAATCATAGAAACATTAAGGTTGGAAAAGACACTGTGATTATCTAGTCCAGCTAGAGGAGCTCACAGGAATATGTTCAGTAAGCCTACAGCTCTACATTTATAAAGAGAGATTGTAAAAATTGAACAGAATGAGTGATTATTAATGTTCAGTATAAAGTTCATGAAAAATTTAGTAATGTTTTCTTTCTTCTTTTTTCTTTTTTCCTTACAGAGGAACTCTGCTTGCTTTTAACTGGCATTGCATGCTGGTAAGTTCATTGAATGATTTGCTATGCCAAGAGTTCTCTTCCTTCATTCTTCCTAACCCTGCCAGCCCAGATCCCAGGAGAACTGTGAAAATTTTGGACCTAACCTGTGACCTTGTGTTTTGCCATGGTTCCTTTGCTATCATTTCAATGCTTTTACTGTCAGCTCTAGCGCAGTACCATGCCCTGCAGTGAAACAAACTAATTCCAGACCACTAGCACATGGTGTAAACTATCACCTTCCCACAGTGGTGGACAGGAATGAGGTGTGGGCCAGCACTGTGCTGGCAGCACATGGCCTTGCCTTGCTGGAACAGACTGCCCAGAGAGGTTGTGGATGTCCCTGGAAGAGTTCAAGGCCAGGTTGGATGGGCCCTGGGCAGCCTGGTCTAGTATTAAATGTGGAGGCTGGTGGCCCTGCATGTGGCGGGGGATCAGAGCTTGATGATCCTTGAGGTCCCTTCGAACTCGGGCCATTCTGTGATTCTGAAAATGAGGCAGGGATGCACCGCCTCCATCTACCTGTTTTCCATCCCTAGTGCGCCTCAGAGAAAATCCCCACACTTTGACCGCTTCGGGGTCTGGGATACAGCACGCTGCTCCGATTGCCTCTGGGGCTGAGCACCCCGGGCCGCCCGCAGAGCAGGAACCTGGGGCTCCATCCGTCTCGGAGCGGTGAAGCGCTGCCCCAGAGCTTCCCCGGGCAGGTCCCGCATGGGGGGGGGGACCGCGGCTCCGGAGTAGGAGGACGGGGAGCGGGGGGAGGAGCGCTCGGCGCGGTCATTGCCACCGCGGGCGGCGTGTGCGGGGGCGGGTGTGGAAGAGAGGTGGGCAAATAGCGATGACCTTTGCGAAGAGCCCGTGAGGGAGCGGGTCAGAGGCAGAGCGAGCGGCGGAGGATGGTGGCTGAGAGCCGGAGGACAGCCGCCCCGTGATGTCACCATGTAAGTTTTTTTCTCCCGGTTCTCGGGCGGGGAACCGCAGCTCGAGCAGCGCGGATCACCCCTCGGTCGGGCCAGGTAGGCAGGGCTCCCCGCTCCCCCGCCCCGTGGTGGGTGATGAGTAACGTCAGGTCGGAGCTGTGCAGATAGGTAGGGCTGAAGGAATGGGGAAACGGGAGAGTTTCGCGTCGGGAGCGTGGAGGACAGGACAGCCGCGGCTCTGCCCCGTCCGGGCTCCGTCTTAGCCTCCAGCGTGTCCCTAAGGCTCCCTAAGGCAGCCTCTGCCTCTTCTCCAGCCCTGTAATAGCGAGCTCGGGACTTCTCCGGTCGCTTTTCCCCGCTTGGAGGCAAGTAGTGACACCTCCAGCTCCGCCGCCGCCGCCCAGCTCCAGCCCCAGCCGAGGAGCCCTTCATCCCGGCAGCGCTGCCGGCCCTCCAGGTGCGGTGCCAGCACAGGGAGGGAAAGAGGGAAGGAGGGGGAAGGAAGGAGAGAGAGGGCCGGGCGTGCTCCATCCCGGTACCGCCGTTCCTCCCGGAGCGCACGGCGGGAGAGGAGGCGGAGAGGGGCTCCCGCTCGCTCTCTCGCTCGTCCGCCCCTGGGCGGATTTTGTCGCGGTCTCTGGGCGCTTTCCCCCAAAAGTTTTGCCTTTCCCGACACGCTCATCAGAAGGTAAGGCAAGGAGCTGTCGGCTCTGGGGTTGGGTTTCGCCGATGCCAGGTGAAAAGGGAGAGGAGGCAGGACCTGGAGAAAGTCAGCGCAGGGGGACGGAGGAGAGTTTCCCAGTAGTTATTATCGGGAAATTTCAAGTACAAAGGAATGGATCCCGAAAAGCGAGCGCTGCGCTGCCACCGAGTGACATACACCCAGCAGATAGGTTGCCTGCGACTCGTGAAAGTTCCTTTTCGAAGGGAAGCCAAGGCGCTAAGGCGGCTCTGGTGCAGCTGGCATTGTTAAATCACGGGGCAGTGTCATTACTTTCATGTCATTTGGCAAGGGTGTTTTCAAAGTCGGCTGTAAGAATAATTAAGAACATGTCAGAGTTAACAGGTTGAAAGTCTAGCATGACGTTGTGTAATTAAGCTTGCAGAAATCCTTTACAGCCCGGGTTTCAAAACTAAGACCCACTCCTTTGTTAATTCACTAGAACTGAAATGTGAATTGTAATCACCATTCACTTGAAGCTGCACGTAAGAGTGATTAAACTTAAGATCTTCTTGTTTACAACCTATATGAGAAAAAAAAAAAATTGTGAAATTGATGTTATCTTTCTTTTCATTTTAAACTGTCAGCAACGTTTCTTTTCTTGCCAGCTTTAGACATGCCAGAGACCAAAGAAAGTCACTCTGCCTGGGGCAGAATTCACATCCCACTCTGGGGAACTTTGCCGAAGCCTCGAACAAGGAAGATGGTGTATTCAAATAGCTGTTCCATGATTTGAGGCTGTGCAGTATACAAATGAAACCCTGCAAGATTATTCACATTTTCTGTGTATTTTCCTGCAGAGCGCTACACTCCCTAAAAGGTGATGAGGTTGCTCTAGCTGACTGCTGGCACATAAAAGGTTTATTAGTTACATGTAGCAAGACTCCCACTAATTTAATCTTTAACTGTGTCGTTACCATCCATTTATGGCTTAGATAAATTACACGTCTATTTTGCTCTTCTGGAATGAATTGTGAATAAGCCCATTGTCTCCCTATGTTATAGGAAATGAAAGTAGCTGTAGAGTGGACTGTTGAATTGCATAGCTGGCCTTGTCATAGTGTCTACAGTGCCATAATGCCAGTTCATAGAAAAGCTGGTAGTTCTGTAAGACTCCATGGAAGGACACTGTCTAATTATTCTACTCTTTTTGTGGGTGCAAATAAAGTGTGTAAAAGGGATCACTGTTGTGAGACTACATCAAACTGTAATGGAGGTACTACAACTGGTGTCCTAACAGACCCCAAATACTTGGCAGTATGTCAGTTTTGGTTCTCAATCTGAAAATATGCTGTGACATGTTTGTAGCTGCTACCTTGCTATCAGTGGGGAGAAGAACAGTGCTTTCTCATTTTATTTGAAACAAAGTAAGGAAGAAAAAACACTATAGACTATGCTAAGCAACTTTAATTTATCTAGGGTTAAAGACTGAGATGGCCAGTTTCAGACTCATCATCTTTATTACGGATTGCTTGCTTACTTAATGTTTTGGTGTGTTTTAGTACATTGGTGCTCTGATATCCCATTTCTCTTGTCTTTCTATCATATTAAGTTACGAGAGTACTGCCCAGAGAGGTTGTGCAGTCTCCTTCTCTGGAGATATTCAAAGCTTACCTGGACACTTTCCTGTGTAACCTACTGTAGGGAGCCTGCTTTAGGAGGGAGTTGAACCTGATGGACCCGATGATCTCCAGAGGTCCCTTCCAACTCCCATGATTCTGTGGTTATTATTTAAAAAAATAATAATAATAACATGAGGCCTCTTGGTCTCGACTCTCTTGGACAGTCAGTGCTATTGCAACAGTCAACCATGCCACAGATCATCATTTGGCAAGTTGTAAACTAGCACAGAACTATTTGTTAATTTCTCTATTGAATTATTCCTACACACTTTGGGTTCTGGTTTAGTCATTAATAAATGTTAGTAATCAAGAAAATGAACCTCTAGTAAATACAAGCAGAGTGTATATGAACAGGTGAATAATATCTGCAACTTTTTCTTTTTTCTTTTTTTTTCCCCAAAATTTCTCACAAGTATTTACCTGTTACTCCAACTCCTTTTTGTGGTTGTCTGCCAAATCAAACTGTAAGAGGTAGATTTTGGAATGGAAGAAGCCTTTTTGTTGTCAGTATTAGCTGATTTCCATTCAAGAAAATGTCTTGTGTGAACAGGGGTATTCTGCACATCACTGCAAACAATCAGGCTTCTGATTTCTTCTCTTTTAGTCTACGCAAGATCTCAAACATGCAAATAAGTAATTTTTTTTTTTTTTTTTCCTCAAGGATAACACTCTGCTACAGATTGTGCATTATTGTTCCATGGATAGTCACAGGTCTTCCTCAGAGTCTTCTCCAAAAGAAACAGATCTGACTGATGGTGCCTGGATTAGTCAAGTGTTTTTGTAGCGTACTTCTGCTATGGTCATTCTTCTTTGATAAGCCCTTCATCATTTCTTTTATCTGAAAGGATGTACTGTAAAGAAAATTGTTGGTTTTTATTTTTCCTTCAGCAATGGATAATATAAGTGGAGGATTCATGGCTTGACATTTTTTATGTATTTGTTTATTTTGGTGGAGAATTGTCCATTTTTTTTTAATAGTAGTTGTATTTTATTATCTAGCCTTTTTCTCTGGGAAAAAAATCTTGGTAGTCATTTCTTTCCTGCGTTGCTTGCAATTTTGTGCACTGCTCTGTTGCTGACTATCTATGTTCTTGAAATTTTTCTTGACTTGTGCTTTCTACAGGAATGAGGGTGAGGAAGTAGATTGTAAACTAACACAGTTGAGCACTGGCTTGTAAGTGTTACCACAATTCAAGCAATCATTAACAAAGAGAAATCGGCCAAATTAAATAATAGCCATGTCAGACTAATGCAGAATCTCAGATTCTTTAAGGGCACTGAAGGCAGTGTGGCTAGATAGATGTACTCCAGAATCTAGGCAGTAGAAAACCTACCAGGTCATTTTTCCATGTGAGATTACAGAGACATCAAAAATTATTGCAGTGACACAATGAGATGAAAATGAACACACGTTAGCTCTGAATTTGAAAATTTTTGAAAATTTTTGTGATTGTTTCCTAGCCAATAACTTTTAATATGTCTGCTCAAAAAGAAAAATCTGGCAACATAGTCACTTCCTCAAGTTTTCATCAATAGATTATTATGTACCACACTAGTGCTTATCTTATCAGTAGATGTAAATTCCTGTGGAAACAGTGATATTCTTCTGTATTTCTTTTGTATCATGCTATGACCTTCAGCGTCTCCATTTCATCTCTCTGTGAGGTGTATGTATGCAAGCTGTATCTGTTCATATGTGCATATAACTGTCCACATGTTTTAAAAGGGCTTCTGTTCAAAGTAAGTTTTCTAAATTAATATTAAGAGCATTGTGAATTTATGAATTATTTACATTGAACAGTTCCCAAACCTCAGCATTCTGTTGTCTGAGATTTCAATAGGGATTTGTAGGTTATTAAGTTGAGGACAATCATTCTATTGTTTGATAATCTGGTTATTTTGTGTGTCTGGCTTCATCAAAGAGATTCTTATATTTCAGAGCCCAGTGTGTTCAGTGCTTGTCTTTGACACTTGTTAAGTTTGACTTTACAATATCTCAGAGGAATAAATCAGCTTCAAATCCCTAATTTGATACAACTTTCCAAAAAGAGCTGAACTTCTTTTGTAATTGAATGCTTTTGCCACGTAACACTGCACTGAAGTGAAACCCAACTGACTGCAGATCTCTGTTGAAGTGTCATTTACCTGGGCCAATTGGCATCTAGCCCATAGAAGTGGTTTAATGAACTTTTTAACTGAAACATTAGTCGTTCCTTTACTGTAGTTTACCTCGCTGCTTTAAGTTTGGCTTGTCTACATTATAGAGCTTCACTTTGGAATGAAACAGAAGCCAATACTGGGAGAAGGCTTACATTTGCCCTCAGGCTTCACTAGCAGACTCATAGCAATGTCTGTGAAGCAGAAGGCTCTTTTCCCAAGTTCAGGAAAATTATGTTTTCTTGCCATTGAATGTGAACTCCTCTGTACTTTCACATTTCTGTCTTGATATTTGATACCAGTGGCCCTTGCAAAAATACCTTCCTCCTTTCTGTTTTTAGTATGCACTGTCCTGGAAGATATATTGTGTTCATCAGTGTGTCTTTGTGGTTCTTTATGTGCTGTTGCTGGCAGTAGACTTGTGAAATATTGTGGGGATTCTGCTAGAGATTTTCTTCCAGTATTACTAGATAACATCTCAGTGAACTAAAGCCAATTATTGACTGTCATCCTCAAAGAGGAGGGTAAGGATTTGGTCAAAGTAATAAGGCTGTTTGGTGATTTGTTTCTCTCTATTGCTCATTGCTAACTTGTTGAATAAAATGAGACAGGAGTGTAATAGAGAACCATTTATTTTGTGTATGCGGTTAAAGCTCTGATCATAATCATTGTGGATCTTCTTTCTTGCTTCTCCTTCAGCTCAATATGGAGGAATTATTTTGATTTAGCCATTGAATGTCATGCACACTTCAAGGCAAAGGAAACTATAATTTCAAGTTATAAATAATAATGGTTTTTATTTAATTGCAGGTTTTTATTAAATAATAAACATGACTGACTTCACTGGTAGCAGAGTTGGACAGCACCCCTAGATTTTGGCAAAAGTTTCAGTTGTTGGCAGAAGACGTTGTAGCTATCAAAATGCTGGCACTAAAAGATATGGAAGGGTTGATCAAGAGCGTAGGCAAATTCTCTCACCTCATCTTTATATAGTTAATAACAAATATGTGTGTGTATGTGTGTATACATATATTTAAACAGCATAAATATTTGTATACATAAATTATGTAAGTAGTAAAATAAAACTTTGCAATCTCCAGAAAACCAAAGCCCATCTTAACACTCTCTAGCCATAAGGCTTCCTTGGTTCTTTTTGTGAAATACCACTTTATCTGTCAGCTCAGAGCCCAGTGATGACCAGCCTTCCCCCTTGTCATAAATTATGAAGCAGGCAACATTTATGAACCAGGCAACAACATTTCTGACCCTTTTTAGGAAGAATATTTCTGTATGTTTTCAAGCTATATTAGGGCCAAACAAATTTTTCAAGTTTTCAGTTTAACTTGATGCTAGTTACTAGACTGATTAGGAACAGCATGTTCTTATTTTCTTGTCTTATTGAAAAACTTCTTGAATTGTTCCTTTTTTGTTTTTGTCTTTTTTTATCATACAGGATGTCTCACATAAATGAAATGTGGTGCTGTCACTGGAAATGGAAGCTGCATCACTGTCTCTACTTGTTCATCCTGTATATTACATGCATGCAGCAAGCAGGTAAGTTAGCAAATTATATTCTTGCTTACATAAATGGTCCAGGCGCCAAAGTCTGACGACTAAGGATTATGCTTATGCATGACTGAATCATGTACAGCATAACATTTTGATGAAAGTGGTGTGTTATAATCATTAGCTGTGCTTTGATAGGATTTACTGCTACTGTTTAATTTTGTTGTTATTTCTGTATCTTTTTGCTTTTATTATTTGTTGTTATTTTTCTTTGAATTCTTACATTTTTATTCTTTTTTTTTTCTTTTACCTTGTTGATACCTACCTCTCTCTTGAATTTGTTGCGACTGTGTAAAACAGCTGCAATACACTTACTATCTTTAAATTCTTTTATGAATCAAATTATAGAAACTTCTCAGCAAGCTGTATATACTGAGCAGTCAGTTTAAATGTAACATCATTTTAGGCACAGAGTAACATAGCACATTGTGAGTATTTCTTTAAACATATGAACAAGAGATTTCATTTACTAAATGTATTTTCCTAACCACTAGAGTGCAAAATATTTTAGGAGCTCCAGCTGCTTTACTGGAAAAAAAGACTGCAGTTTATTCTGGAGCAGACGAAAGTTTTGGAGCAGCTTGTATGGCTCAGCTAATTCCATATCTGATGGGTAGTTTTGCTGTTACAAACTAGCTATTGGAAAAAGGATGTTATATATAGAAAGAATTTCTAGCTTCTTTGACTCTGTTTTTTCTCTAAATAATATGTACAGGGCTTTTTGATGTTTGAATCTAGTGGCTGTGCAGTAGCAGTTTCCAGCTTTTCATCACTTTAATATGTGTTTTCCATCTCTATTAAACTGTGTAGCCAGGAATGTACATTTAGGATCTGACTGTCATCAGCTGGCTGATGGCCTCTGTGTCCCTGCAATCCTGCAGCTGCCTTCCTCATCATAAAATAAGTCAGCAAAAACTGCTGTAATCTACAGCTGAGGGCTACTGCCTGGTGACTGGCACATCAAGGCTCAAAGACCTTTAGTCTTTGCTAATTCTTCTTGATAAGAATATGGTTATAAAAAGTGCAGACAGTACAGCAAGAATAAATTCTGTGAGCAAGAAGGCCCCAGCCAGTATGCTGGGAACACTAGACATCCACAGGTTCAATAGACAAATGTGTTTGCTGTTCAACAGTGAAAGAGATCATAGATAGTTTGCTGTTAATACTCGACTGAAGTGAAAAGGAGACATTCACCTCTCCAGCAACTTGCCATTTGGCAGTACTTGCTTGCAGACCCTTTGGTTTCACGTTTCTTCTTTTTTCTTTTTGTTAATGTGAAAGCATAGGTTATAAAACACAGTTGCAAAAATGTGTCCTTTTCATCTGTTCTTTTAAATAGAGCAAGGCAAATAAGACAGGAAAGTATTCTATTTTGTGTCCTTAAAATGTATCTTTTTGGCTGTGCATTCATATGGTGTCTATAATTTCCTTGGTACCTTAAGCTTTACTGAATTTACTGAAAAAATATTGTAAAACCTGATGTTCACCCAGCTTAGCTAGTGAGTTGTAAGCTTAGAAAGCAACTGGGGCTTATTAAGCTTTGCCTAAAGGAGGTTACACACAAGTGGGGGATTAAGATGATCAGATACGGGTTTTATGGATTATTTATGAGGCTATTCATAAGGAAAAGAATATCAGTCATGCCGTGACATGGAAAAAATGCAAAAGCAATAATTTTATGGTTTAACTTTTGAAGATCTGCAGGGCTTGGCTCACTTTCAGAAACAAAGCTTAAGAGAAGGATCACGCAGCAGAAAACTTAGAGTAGGAATGGAAAGACTATTCAGCTACAAACTGATCAGTGGAGTAAGGCAATGGAGTATAATCCCGAACTATAGATCTGATACTTTTGAGGAACTGATGGATGGATTCTGACACTTTACACAGAAACAAATAGTAATTAATATAAAAAAAGATAAAAATAAAATGTCAGCCGCCTGAAGTACTTCGGCGTATTGGCTGCAGGCTGCTTGTTGTTATGTGGGCTGAAGATACAGATGAGATTAGTAAGCAGCTTCACAGGTTTCTGTTCCTGTCTGTGGTAGCAGTGCCTGGCTGCTGTGACTGAATCACTTAGCTCTGCTTGTTCCTCTGTCTGTAAGATTAAGTGTATCTCTTGCCTCCCTTGTCAAAACTTTGTCTATCTTCCAGTGAAAGCGCTGAAAAGAAGCTGAGGTATAACAATGGTGATGTTTTAAAGAGAAGTAATTAAAACCCTTTTTGTCTGAGATTCAGACATTCCTAATCTATTTGTTTGTATGTATATTTTGATGATTTCACAGAGCTCAAAAGGGAGCAAAAAGAGTGAACTCAGTTCTGTAAAATGGAACAGGCGCAGACAGAAGGAACTAAGAATTTTTGGTCTGAAGTAAGCAGAAGTTGTAACATCTAAGTTCAAATATTTGAAGAGATAGCTGCAATGGGAAGGGAGAGTGATCTTTTTAGACAGCTGAAAGGGCAAAAAATACTGGTTTAAATTACAGCGAGATAAATGAGGGGAGGAAATCTTATCAAAGAGTAGAGACAGCAGTGGAATAGATTGCCAAGGCAGAATGTGGAATTTCAGTCCTTGAAAGCGTATGTTAATGCCTGCCAGACATGATTAAAATCTCAGTGCTCTTCCTTTGGGGACTGAGAAATAAGTTAGATCATTTCCAAACTTCCCCAATTTCTGTATTCCTTCCTTTTGTCTTTACCCTGGAGAGTTCTATTTTGTTTCAAATTTGGGGAAATGAGAAGATTCAGTGGAAATTCCATATGTCAGATTATGACAGGGATTTTGCTGTGCTTAAAATATAATATTAGTGTTTGCGTTTTCACCTGAACGTCATTTTTTATCTGAAACAAAGAAGCAGCAATTCGGTACAGAAAGTAATAATTGGTTGCCTTGGATATGTATAACTTCACAAGTTAAGTGCACCTGCAATGGTATAAATATACCTACAGTTCTTACACAGTTTCTGCGTTCTGCCCATGTTGCTGTTATCACAGCATTATTATGACTGTAGCTTGTGTCAGTGAGCACTTGTCCTGTTGTTCATCCATCAGTAAAATGTGGTGTTTTTAATCAATCCTCAGGGCCTCACTGAAGAGTTAGTTTTAATTCTACCACAGGTCCTAAAATCTTCATGTCATTTTTTAGTGGTGGCTTGAAAGGGGGGAGGAGGGGGAGAGGGGGAAATTAGCTCTTCTTAATTCATCAAGAAAAGATGGATGAGATGAGAGTAAATCTGAAAGCAGGGTCTTCTCCCACATGGCTGATATCTGTCCGCAGTGTGGGATCAACCCTAATGTTGTGGTCCTTAAATGGGCCTGCAGAAAGCTGAGACCGCTCACAATCCTGGGATGATTTCTTAGAGATTCTCTGGATTCAGGAGCCAACTGAGAGATGGGGGAGGGAGATTGATTGATAGCATCGCTTATGCCAACAGTGCTAGCAGTCATCTATGGAAATGGATTTTATCTGGAACTGCATTGGGCAGGAAGCATGTTTTCTCACCATAGCACTGAGTCTGCCTTCTCCAAACAAGGGCCAAAGATCCTATTGCTGGGCAAGTGATGAAATAATTGCCAGTGCATTCACTTATCTCTATCTCTCTCTCTCTCTCTCTCTCTCTCTCTCACCAAGACCTTAGCCCAGTCATCCAGTGTGACTCTAGCATATGGTATGCAGGCAGGGAATACCTTTCCAGCATTGTCACAGACACATTTTTCTCTAGTGATATGTCAAGGGTGGGAATAAGTGCATTTATATTCCCGCAAATGGCAAATGAGACCGAGAGCTTTGTAGTGAATAAAGGAATGGAAATTTGCCTTTGTTAATATTATGAAAAACTCAGGAAAAATTCTGAATTATTCAGTTTGTCAGTTTCTTTCCTTGCCCAGGCATCTATATGTCACATGCAGTTATCAGGGAAAATTGGATATTTAGTGAATTGCTGCAAAGTGTTTTTGTTCTGTCCCCATTCCCTATCAGTTTTCTTTTGAATTTTAACCTAGTTTAAGGAAAACAAATCAAAAGTAATTATTTATGTCTTGTTTTAATATTTACATTCCTGGTGTCTTGAGGGATGTGTTATTCTGTTCATATAAGTTTTACAAAGAAAAGATGTCTAGTTGCCTTTCTTTTATTTTCCTTAGTTGACAGCTTATTTAATGCAGAAGTAAATTAGTGTTGGAATGAATTTCACAGGAAGCTGCCTCTCATTAACTCTTTTACTCTTTGAGTTCTGATTTTTTTGATGATGTTGATAATTCTTTTTCCCTGAAGCGTTTAGTCCTTTTTTGCATTAACCATAGGTACCCCTCTAAAAGCACAGTGATTTTCCTCACCTACTACTCAACTGTAAGCCAAAACTAAATGGAATATGGTCAAACATGACAGAAATTCAAAGCTGATTAGGTCCTTGCTGCCTGGATTCTCTGTACTCCTTTCTTAAGTACATTCTTTAGTAGAAACTTTTTCTCTGAAGAATAGAACATTAAAGAAAGAATATACCTTTCACTGAAGGTCACATCTTTATACCCTTAGATTTTAGAATCTATTCATGATGCATTTTGCCTTATTTTCTTCTTTTTGCTGTTAAATGTCAAAAACATAGACAAATTTTTCAACATTATATGTGACAATGGTTGAGAAAGAATCTAACTCAGTGGTATACATACAACAACAGACTCTAAAGTGACTCATGATGAACTGGACAGTACTTTACAAAGGGCTGCATCTGTTAGAGGTTATTATGTAAAGAAATTCATTCCTTATAGCATTTGTCTGCTGTTCTCAATAAAATTAATTAACATTTTTGAACAAAATTAAAAGACTGAAGTTTTGGAAAATGTCATTTTTCTCTTTTTGATTGCTAATATGAGAAATATTGCATGATGAAGTGGAGGTTTTTGTTAAGAATAGAATGCTTTTCCCGGTAAAATATATATCCCAATATATATATTCCCAATAACATATATATCCGGAAGTTATGCATCTTAAT